TCTTGAGTTTATTAAATGAAAGAAAATGTCTGGATGCTATAAATAATGAATGGAAGCAAAGCTTACATGTGCAGTTATGTGAATGAAAAAAGCATGGAATGTATGAGAATGAGTAAGAACATGTTTTCCTTTGATTCTGGTGGAACTAGGCTTTATTTAAAAATGATGCTTGGTAATCAAAGCTGTGTCGTTTTACTTGAAATGGCAAAATATGGAAGGCAGCATTTTCTATAATGAATTGTATCCTTGACTAAGAGTTAAGTATTTATTACCATTCGAAAATAAAGATGGTGATATCAGCTATGTTTTATCTATGCTTATTTTTTATTGATCGTTCAGTTCACAAAAGTTTGAATTATCTTGCAATTTCCAGTTAACGAGTGATCCTAGAAGAAAACATTTACAAATTGAACACATACCCTGTTTATTTTCTCTGAAAGATACACGTGATAAAGCAGGTAGCTTAACCTCCTTCAGATACAAAAATATTCATATGCAAGTAATAAAGTTTTTTTTGTTTCACATTCAACATTTTTTTTACCTAAAGCAAAATTACACCAAAGGTATTTTTAACTCTAGACAAAGTACACCTTGTGCTTCAACAAACCCAGGGCAATATGTGCTCATGTCATGTTTACAAGGACTTCTGTGAATACGCAGTGGCTTTATTTTTCCTTGAATTATGAAAAATATCCAGTACTGAACTTGCCTACACTTTTCTTTTTTATCCCTATCATTTTCTTTCTGCAAAGTTAAGGCAAGTACAATTAACATTACAAAATCCACAACTCTATTGCTAACATGTGCAGCATTCATTTTAGTGAGTGGTTGTTCTTCAGTTGTAAAAAAAATTGAATACAGAAAGTAAAATGTGCAACGTTCATTACAAGGTGTGCATTTGTGTCAAATAGTAAGGTGTGTTAATGACACTAAAAAAGTACTCTGCTTACTGAGAGTAAATAATGTCACCCTGTACAGATAGTGTGATAGTTTTCTCATCTCTTCAAACACCAATTTATATCATTTTATATGTAGCCGCACGCTATAAAACTACTTCTACGATGTATGAAATTTAATTAGCTAACTTTTATGCAGGAACAGGATGCCACAAAATGGCCCACCAACCTCCTATGTAATGTCACAAGATTAGAGTACATAGGATATATAAAATAGATGATCTAAGATCGGTGGATACATGGAAATACTTGAAGTTCAATGCAAGAGTAGAATCTTTGGACCTGTGTTTTTTTTTAAAAATCAGGTATCTATCGGTTGACACAGTCAATACTTTTGTCAGATCACACCAAGCACTCTTGCGTTTAATTTAGGTTGCTTGTACGGATATTTTGTTCTCTTGCTTGTTCATATCATCAAATATAAATATAAGCTTTCACCATTTGTAAAATTCCTGGTGTTGCAAATGCTCATGATCTTGTAAAACTTTAAAGTTTACCCACCATTTGTCAAACATTATCAACATCAAAAATGGCATTTAGTTTTTGGATACTGACAGTTTATAAATGTGGAACAGTCTAAGTTGAAGAATTATATCCAGGTGTGACATGCGTTGAAATGACAGTATAGCAATACCTACCATAAAATCAGTGTTTATGCCACACATTCATGCAAGTTTTCTATGACCTGCAAGTTCGGGTCTGGACTTCTATACTGGTAGAATTAAATGCGATGTTAATGTGGGTGGGTGTACAAGTTGGTTGCAATGTTTACACACGTCTATATAGCGGATTTTAAAGTACTAAAGTACAGTACTATCTTTTTGTAATTTGGGGAAAAAAGTCTTCATTACTAAAATAAATCATTCAAATGTCTGTGATAACCTGTTATAATATTTTTCTGTAACACTTTCTTTTAAGGATACATACTTTAACTACTAAATGCATATTAATATTATATGAACAGCATCATTGTCAAGTTCAAATAATTAAAAGTGGCAAAGTGAATTAACCCCATTAAATATCTAATAAATATTATGTAAATACTATATTTTCATCTTCACAAAATATGACTAATTTACTACACAGATATTTCACAGCTGTTAAATGTAGATTTTTCTGTTCTCCTTAAAATTGTGTTACCAATCTTCAACATCATTCATATCAAACTGAGCTGTGCAGGGTTGTTAAGCCAGTTGTCGAATGCCTCAATGACCTTAATTTTGAGCCTTGGTGAAGACCAACATGTACACTTGCATGTATAACTCTTATTGCTGTCTTTGTCTACATGCTGAGGGCCTTACGCATATTTGCAAAAGATGAGCAACGATCTGACAAACCCCTTACTTTGTGTCTGCCACTAACAAGGAGGGGTAGCAGGAACTGTGGATGAATGCATTCCTTTTAACTTGACCAGTTGCACATAAGCGATGGAGAATTGTCGACAATTTAAAGTACAGAGGAAGGCCATGCAGTATTTTATCTGTGCTGGTACTCGCTTGCTCACTGCAGATATCTATTGTATTCACATTCTCATGTTCTTTCCCCATATTTGTTAATATTACCTTTCCTCAATTATTGATCCAATTCTCTTTTAAACACTCGCATTGACTCAGCTTTAATACCCATTTGTAGCAAGTCCTCTTATCCTAACAATTCTATGTACAAAAACCATCTTCTAACCCCTCTTTTTCTTTCTGGTGCTAATTGTAAATTTATGCTCTCTTGTTCAATCAGAGGAAATCATCCTTGTCTATTTATCCTATCAAAATCTATGAATATATTTGAAAAACTCTTTAGCTTTACCATTTTTACTCCGGACCCAATCTTTCAATTTTCTTGACAAAACCATCTCTCATCCCTTTGAATCTGCACTGCATGCTTTACGGGGCTATAATATTGTTGTATAATAAAATGCTCAAAACTGGATGCAATATTCTAACTGTGGTTTAACCAATTTCTTCCACAAACTAGCACTCTTACCTTTAAAGACCTATTTATCTGTACTCTTCAAGTCTATTTCTACTCCAATTAAGTTTCCACTCAATTTATTATTAACATTTCCTCTCTTCTCCTAAAATGTGCTACTTCACATTTTCCACTCATCTATCCACTCCATTATTAACCTGTCTGTTTACTCCTTAGACTCTGCATTCCTCCTCCTCAGTTTGGTATTAGCAGCAAATTTGGACACTTTCCCTTTCATGAATAAGTCCAGATCATTTTTGTATGGAAAGTAAGCGTAGCAAGGGAAAATAAAAAGAAGTCTGGAAGGAAAAATACGAATTCCTTTAAAACAATGCCTTATGTGTGCCTTTATTTAAAATACATTGACCTTCGTGAAAGATTAGTTGTTTCAAGAAAAAAATGCCACGTAATTTCAGTTTTATGCGTTAGGAGGCAGCCTACATATAACAGAAGAAAGGACGTTGTCTGTCTATTTCTGTGGAATTCAGATTGTACAGCATCTAATTTTTTTCTCTGAAAAAGGAAGTGCAATACAATTATCATTGCTAGCTGCAGTACTTTATTAGTACTTCTGATTCTTATCTGAAAATTGTTCGGAGTGCAAGAAAAATTGATTGTCAATAGGGAAATCTTAGCATGTGTCTGCAGGGGAAGCGGACAGTTTTTAAGAGAGATCAGCATTCTTTTCATACTTAAGTAGGCAATACAATAAATATAATGCCGCATGCTGTAATATAAACTGAAACAGAGGGGTAATACAGTACTGTACATTGTTTCTTCTGATGAAAATAAAGTTCCAAATATAATTTAAAATGTTCAAATATCCTAATAAAATGTATCTACTTGATGCAATGATGCAATGACTTAATGCGGTTGGATTAAATTACTGTGATGGAGAATGAAGTTGATAATAGCATCCAAAGAAGACACTCTTGATTTTACAAACATGCTGTATGTGATGCCTCTATCACAGATAAAGTGAACTGAGGCATCAGACACTGCTACAGAACTAATCCACAGTTTAAAGAACTGAAATGAAAAGTTCAACACCATACAAATACAATTAAAGGTCAGAAACAAGCTGCCCTTCTTGACTGTCAGTAATGCCCGGTTTGATCTGATGAGTTGAAAACCAGTATTTCACTTTTAGCCAAAACACTNAAAAAAACTCAAGATTTTCTTTTTCTGAAATAGCATTTATTATTGTAGAGGTAGAAATGGTCCTAACCATCTTTAAACTCTGTGAAGAAGCATTTAAGATAAAAATAAGGTTTTATTTTATACACTACACTGGGGTTCTTATATTCATTATGGTGGGTATTATATATTGATGCCAAAGTAAAATAAAAATTCTTGTCAAGTGCATTTTCTGTGAAAATTGCAACATATATTTTGCACATAATCTCCAGTTACATTGAAGACATCTTTATCTTAAATATTGGGATTTCTCTCAGTTGTAAAGGTGAGGGTACCTTGCCAGCAATGTCTTTTTAAACTCTCTTTTATGCCTTTTATTCATAATAGATATTCAAGAGTGTAGAGGGAAATTATTACTGATGAACTAAAGAAAGTGACTGTCAACCATTTGTGCCAGGACTATATCTACATCACTTAATAAACTTCTACTTAATGATCTTCTGTCAGTACTAATGATTGAAAAGTGATTTCCGTGAATAATGCACATCTGAATTACTGGAAATTCTTCAGACTGACAAATATCATGTTAAAAGTTCAAACTTCATCCATAATATGCACTTTAGAGTATAATATCACTAGCATATAATGTCTTTGCTCTCACCACCATTAATTTATGAATACATTTGAGCTAAGATGCGATATGCAATGTCTAATGCACATCCCCTCAACAAATCACATTTTCAAAAGAACCTAGCTGTGGCATTCTTAGTTATTCTTTATGTGGAATGGAAATGGAAACAACATCCCACAGTTTATTATCACCAATCCTTGCAAAAACATCCAATAAAATGTCAAAATCAAACCATTTCCATCTACATTAATTGTGAAGAAAAATGCATATTTCCATGTCTCTATGTCACATGAATATTGTATGCTTGCCAGTCTCTTTAAAAATTCTCATATCGGTCCGAGTAACATAGAACATAGAAAACAATCATAAATGTAGTAGTGACAGGCAAGAATAGAACAGGAAGACTCTGATGTTACAAACTTTTTTGTTTATCGACAAGACCCTGTATTTCATTTTTGTTTGTATAACAGCAGCAGTCAAGGCCATGGTCCCAGGCACCACGACTGTGGAACCCAAAGGGGCCAAACTATCCCACTCGTTGTTACCAAATAACACTGGACACACTGGTCTCCCTTGGCAGAAGTGGTAGTACTGCACTGTTTGTGTGAACCTCATCTGGAGTTTGCTCCTTGTTTATTTTAGTATGTGGCCTCTGCCCATTAATAAGTGTCATGGGGATGTTGCAGTATGTGTGTTGGTTACCCAGTGAGGTAAAGGGAATGCCACCAGGAGTAGGAGGTACATCATACTCGTAGCTCCGATAGTATTGTTTGTGCCGCATCTGCGTGTGGTAGGTATTGTGAAAGGTGGAGCGCAGATCCGGATGGGCGGTGGCTAGAGCAGTGGAAGTCGCTGCTGCCATGGAGATGGCAGACACCGTCTGCAGTTCCCCAAATGGACCATGCTCACTAGCATCCAAAACCTGCTCATTAGCGATCGGCTCTATCCTCCTAAAGGGCATTTCATACTGTAAACGCTTCCAAAATTTGGAATCCAGTTTGTTGCACTTAGGTCCATTCCATTTAATAACTGTAAGAAGCTTGATTGTGTGTTTGAGAGCCTCAATCTCCTGGTAGTTTATAATTCCTCGAAGTTCACTGCATTCAATAAGTATCACTCTAATTTCACCAGTGACTAACATGTTCCGAAGTCTGGTTTCCAGTTCAAATATGCTCCAGCCTCTTCTTATAACATAGTTTGGGGTCAGAACGATAATTAGTCTTTTGCTTTGATCAACACATCTTGCCACATCTTCAATGTACGCTGAAAATAAAACAGCATAGTTTTTATTACACACAGTCCAAGTACATAGTGGCTCAAAGCAACAATCTATAACTGCATGCAGCATACTGCAGTCAGGGAGATGCGTTTCAATTCACAGGTGTGAAAGGGAAATAACACAAGAGAACAGGAAGCACAGGCCAGCTAAAATCCCTTTCTTACCAAGGTGGCATTAGGACCAATAATATTGCATATTTATGTCTTTACGCTTTTCTTTGTGTTGCTCCTCTCGAAACATCTGCTGAATCAACTTGCCACTCTCATGAAATGTGAATGAGTTGAAATCATGCAATCCTGACATGATTGGATAAAAACAATAAAGCCTCATAAATTCCTCATAAGGCCCAAAAATTTAATTTTAGTGATTGGGTGAACTCAGCCCAAAGTCTCATGGACAATCACTAAAAGACAGTATTTTGGCCTAGGAGAGCATGGCTTTTGGTCCTCCTGGCCCAATAAACCCTGGGAAAGCAAAATTAAACCAATAAAAACTAACCACAAGCCTGATATAGGGCCCAATGTTTACTAAATAAAAGGTCATTTCAGAGTAAAAACAAATTGACAGCTGAAGGAGCACGAGTGGAGCATACCATTCACTAACAGAGAGACGCCACCTGCTAGCGTTCCTAAAATAAGCGACACAACAAATATCAGAGCATACCATTTTTTCACCATCGTTCCTGTAGAGAAAACATCAGCATGAATGAAACGCGCATATCCCAAGTAACAGTTATCAGAAACACCCACTGAGTAAGGAAGTAGGAGCTGAGATGGAACGTTAAAATGTCACGGAACTAACTTCAGTCGCTCAATTTTACCAGGAGATAAATAGTAATAATCCTTGCATTTGATATAGCGCTTTTCAGGTCATCTGGACACCTCAAAGCCCTTCACAGAATATACTGTGAAGTGAATTGACTGTATATTTGTGGGTGAAATGCAGCAGCCGATTGTGCACAGCAGATCCGGGAATGGGAGAATGTAACCTGAGATTGTGAAGGGCATGAAGGTTGGTCTGGTCTCGCAATTTTACTATGAAATCTGGGGTGGGGAAATAAAATATGAACCTTTCTTATCACTTTGGGATCTACTTTACAAGATTAGCAACTGATTTATAAATAGCAAATCCTAAAGATACCCAAGAATGTCCTTCTTGCCCTCTTGTTGACATCAATTTTGAGTCCCACAAAGCCTACCCAAAGGAGGTTCTTGGTATCTGGCAGGGGATTAGTGTCTGAGTGAAGTCTCAAGAGTATTTGGACAAATCCAGATACCTGCAGGATTCATCATTTACAAAACTATTGTTTTGTAGTAATGGTATGTGTGTAGAAATTATAGAAAAGCCACACATGAAAGCAAACACAGACATAGAAAACTACAGAAAGAAAGCAGATCTGGATATGGAGCACTGGTACATAGATTCCTACAAGTTACATAAGGATATTAGTATGATAAGAGGAAAGAAATATGATAAGAACATAAGAATTTGCCAGGCGAAAGAAGACTAAGGTCCATCTAGTTTGCCTTCCATCATCCTGGCAGTTGCTTGACATGTCATGTCCCAAACTATATACTGTATCCCGAGATATTATTTTCTAGCATAAATCTATTTAATTTTCCTGTTCCATAAGTTTACTATGTGCTCACTGGAGTAGTGCTTCCGCAGATTTGTTCTAAATTTCCCCCTTTCAATTGCAGGCCAGTGTCCTCTGGTTCTACTGTTCAGTGCAAGATAAAACAGTTTATCATGGTCTACATTATCTACTTCCTTCAGAATCTTAAAGACCATAATCATATCGCCCCTCAACCTTTTCTTCTTCAGTGTGAACGTGCCCAGGTTATCTAATTGCTCCTCATAGCCCAGTCCCTCCATCCCCTCAATCATTTTGGTTGCCCTCCTCTGTATCCTCTCGATCCCTGCAATATCCTTTTTATATTGTGGTGACCAGAACTGCAAATAGTATTCCAAGTGTGGTCACACCAGTGATTTATAAAGTGGAAGGATTACCCCACTATTTTGGCTCAATATTGCCCTTTTAATACAGCCCAGTATCTGGTTTGCCTTAGTCACTGCTACTGAGCACTGTTGGGATTTCAATTTATTATTAATCAGGATCCCCAGGTCCTTTTCATATTCCGTACAGATTATTTTCTTACCATTTAAATAATAGTCCCTTCCTAGATTTTTTATCCCCATGTGAAGCATTTTGCATTTGTCTATATTAAATTTCATCTGCCATCGATCTGCCAAATTCCCAATGGTATTTGAATAGACAGAAATTCACCTTGATTTCAGGTATCTGAATAAACAAGTAGTTTGGGATATTATTCTTAGTTTTCTGAAATAATACAAGCATAAAAGAAACACTGGAATCAATTATCAGTAATAACATGCTGTGGAATCTTTATTCAGTTGCATAGTATCGCTGCCAAATACTCTTGAATCTCATCTCCACACACCTTGTGGAATTTCTCTAAATACTCAATGCTCTAAAATCTCCTATGTTTGGTGCCAAACACACTAATTCCTCTTTGTGCACCTGGCCTAGTGAGCTCTGCTATATCACAATGTACCTGTTCCCTATCCTGTGACATTACTGCTAATCCTCTTGCATCTCTCTTCCTCAGTCTTACCACCTTTCTTGAATCCTTTTCTGTCTTTGTCCTGAAGCCTCTTGACATATCTGTTAATTTCTTAGGTAGCCCTTCTCCCTAGACCTGGGCATCTTGACTAAATCCTCAGCTCCTTGCTAGTGATATTGCATTCTCTCAAACTCCTCTATGCCTGTGATCCTCATTCCTTTGGCAAGGATGCACCTTATTGACATGGTCCTGTAGGTAAACCCTTACGTATCATATCTGGTAAATCTCCAATGTCTCTGTACCTCAGTTCTATGCCATTAGCTGCTAAATCCTTTTCCATCTCAGTTCCTCAGTTGCTTAGTTCCAGTGAACCACACCCTCCCATTGTCTCTTCTCAGTCCTGAAACATAAATATAATCCACATGCTTTTTGAAGTCCTCCAACTGTTTCTTTCAACCCCACTGTGGATTCTCAATCTTATTCTAGTTTCCATGCTTAGTCTTGCAGTGCCCAATTCAATTTGGCGACAACATCAGTTTGTTTTAACAAATGAGCCACATTACAGATTGTTCTACAAAGAAACCAGTCAGTTGAAAACACAAAAGAGGGATTCAAACTCTTGATCTCACCCACTCTTTGGCTAAATTACCCCCAAAAGAAATTATAACATGATTATCCTGCTCTCAGCATACAAGAGATATTTCCCAAAACATCATAGTTTGACTGAATTTAGCGCACGAGACAATTTAAAAACTTAATAGACTGTCTAATAATGGAAAGATTGTATATTGTTGGCATGAGCTGCTAATGAAGCCATAGACTTTAACACCCAGAAATTGTATGAAAAAACTAAATCCCTGTCCATAAGAGAAAACCACCATAATTTTACTCTATTCATTTGACCTTTTCGCGATCTGTAGAAACCATTTTTATAAAATAACAAACAATAGTTATCCCTTTAGAAAAATAGTGAAATTTTATAACTAAGTACATGGAAACCTTTTTAAACATATCTAAATATTTGAAAAGTACAACTCAAGAGATTATAACGGAGAAAATATATAAACTATACAATTTGCCGTTTTTGATAAATTCACTCCAACGTTAATGATCATAATTAATGGGAACTAAGATTCCTAGCTTTACATTGAGCCTACTGCAAAGCACTGTATGATCATGAGGGGATAATGCCTCCTCTTTTTCCTGCCCCCATTGTAGTCTATGAATTTCAAACTTGATACAGCACCTTGTTGGATGTGCATGTGATATTGTTTGGGCAAATAGCATCTAGTTGTTCCAGAGAAATCTAGGCAAATATATCTTAAAGGAAGAGAGAATCAGCAGCTACAAACCGTGGAAACCTAATCTTCCATTTGAGTATAAATCTATAGCGATTATCTAATGTCAGTCTCTTCAATATATTAATGATGCAGAGCTTGAAGTTGAATTAAGAGGTGCAAATGGACTAGCTCGATTTACTCCCAAAGGCGGTTTTGATGGACATGTTGTACTATATGTGTAGGTTTTTTACTTACTGTTCTCCCATCCGATTATAGTGGGGCACGAGAGGTGTTGCGTGGCACAGGACTGTGATTGAGCCCATACTATAAGTGGAGGGGAGAATGGTAAGCACAAACATTAGACAAGCATAAGTCAATGACATTGAGAAAAGTATAGCAGACAGAAGACAGTTATTTTTAACACATCAAAATTTATTGATAAAGAAACATAGTGCAACATTATTTTGATTCATATGTTATATTTAAAAAATATATTTATGGGCGCAAAGTAAAAGCAAGGCTAAAAGGCACCACAAGATTATAAGAGAAGTTTGCTAATTTCCTAACATAAATCTAAGTGAGGACTCCATCTGGTATTCGAAAGTATGCCACACACATTGCTCCAACTCAAAGGATCCCAGCTATGAAAGCAGATTAAGTTAGAGTGGAGTTCCTAAGAGTCAGCATCATAGACTTATGTAGTAATTCATACCAAAATCCATTAAGAAATACTGCAAAATCAAGTCCTATGTTCTGTAGTGCATCTGTATGCAATACAGAGGTTGAATGTGGATAGAATTTAAGTATAGGGAAGAGACACAGACATTTCTCTGACCTGGTGACAAGAACAGGATTTAGACTATAGAAGAGTCACATGGTCTCTCTGAATGGGAAATGTGTGATCTCGTGGGCAGATAACATTTTACTTGATGCAATTTGTGCCATTTAAAATGATGGAATCTGAGTCAGTTCTGGCCAGATTAGGATGTGAGGGATGAAGTGTTGAAACTGGGTTCACAAAGAAACATTTTCTGTTATTATTAGAGCATAGCAAAGACCTGTATTATTTTAATACATGGAGAATCATGGTCAGTACCACAATGGATTCAAGTTTTTTCATACATCTGCACAAGTGGGAGGCTAACCTTTTTACCAGCAATCACCAATGTATGTATTTTGAACATAGCAGATTAAAGATTATATTAATCTAGTTTTAGTATTGCATTGCTAGCATCATATTCATGCAATCAGTAACATTGGATACCTTGGTAGAATTCTCTAAGTGAAATGCATCCTTGAAGCAATTTTTTTTTGCCTGAACAAACACAGTCTGGTTCTTTGCAGAGTCTTATTTAATTCAACCCGATGGGATTTGATAAAGAAATGCAGAGACAGGAAAAGATTTACTTACTTCCAGTTGGAATCAAGTCCCTATCGGGGATGAACAATTTGTACCCATAATGTTTTTCTAGCACATCTGGTAAGATCTCCAGAGCAAAACGTTCCTCCTCTGTTGTTTCTTGGTTCCACTGGTCAGGATCCACTTTGGTGTATGACAGGTATGCATCGTAATCTTTGTTTTCTGCAAAAAATGTAAATTGATTATTTCTACCTGGATGGATCCAATGTGATTATAATCCTGGTGCTGATTAAGAGGAAGCTTGGTTAACTACATACAATCAATCGGTTAGGAAATACAAATACTTAGGAACAAATTCTTCCAACACAGAAGTCACGGTTGATTATAATTGTGAAGAAAACAGCGAAAAAACTAAATGATCTGAGACAGATACTCCAAATGCTTTCTGCAACACTTTTCTGATGGTTGAACACATTTAGTATTTTACCAATTTTCTCATCCTCAATTTAAATGCCTTTGCAAAGGCATTTTCACATAATCCTGTATCCTGATGAAATCCTCAATGTGCCACTAAACATACTCTAGAAACTCATCAACTTGCATATGATTTAATAGCCAGACTAAATCATGGCCAGATTAAATAATAACCTGATTGTATGAAAGTACGATCATTGAATGGCTGGATTGTATAATGGCCAGATTATTGAAACAATAAATTTAATGAAAAGCAAATTGAGATTTATTACACTTAATGTAACATAATACATTTACATGTATGGGTGCTTTCGGTCACCTTGCCCCTCCCAATCGCTATCAGCTCCCACACCCAGCTTGGGTGCCCAGATAGCAGTGTAGAGAACTTTGAGGCATCCTGCCGACATGAAAGGCGTTATATAAATATAAATTGTTTTGTATTTTGTGTAGAAAAAATGTATCAAGGGACAACTTCTTATATTAAATATTAACAAATTGGCTAATTGCCTACAAAATGCACAGCCGCTAAACTTTGCAATAATACTGTGAAGTGTTTAGAGATGTCTTCCCAATGTGAAAAGTGCTACACCGAAAGCAAGGATTATTATTTTAGTTCTCCATTTACTTTTTGTGTGCATTTTTTCCAGATTAGATTGAAATAGCTAAATTGATGTTTTGTTAGTCTTGTGTAATGGCTGAACAACATTGCAACAAGGGATTATAGCGGGTAGCAAACTAATCCACAGAAAATTATTTATGCAGCTTTGAACAAATAAATCCTATCACAAAGGCCTATTGGGATGAATCAAAAAGCCCTGGCTAAATTATTCAAATGATAATCTTAATGAAGAGCAAATTGAGATTTATTACATGAAATGAATTCTGTGTGTAAAAAAAATCAACATAGACAATATTTGATACTGATCAAATATTCAGCGAGTTGGCTAATTGGATATTTTAACTCAACATGAGTTATGTTACCTACTTGTGTAAGTTAATGATTTTCTGGGCTTCCAAAATAGTACAGAGTTTTGCCATTTTGAAAAGCAGTGGAAAAAAATCAATTATTTGATGACCACAAAAGCATTTTACCCAACATTTCAGAACACCCAGTGGTGTACTTTTAATGGAATATCAATATTGGATTTATCTTTGCATTATTTAGTTAGTTTTGATTTTTCTTAAGCATCATAATTGAATCTGGATTCCTGCAGTTACAAAAATTACAGAAAACCAAATTTGTTTGTGCCATGGAAAAACCTTGTAAGCAGAATTATTGTGAATTAAAAAGCAGGTTTCCCTTACTGCAAGTTATTGCTGATATCTACATCTAAAAATATTAAAGAATGTAGACTTAAGGTCTAAAACACAGAAGTCACCATCTGGATTTGCAAAGGACTGGAATTTGCTGCTAGCTGGATGTGCATCTTACTGACCCTCAGGAACTTTGCTCCAATATCATCTCCTTCTGGTTGTGCCAGAGCAGATTTCCTGTGGGTTGATGTGCATGATGTACATTGGTTAAGAGCAGGATTCGATATTTCCGAATCCTTTGCAAATCCTGGAAATGAATGCCACAGTTTACACCCCCAATTGTTAATCCTTTGGACAGCATTCAAACAAATATATTTCGCTAAAAATATTTAATTGTGATTCCTATTTTTTTAAAAAAACAACATTCTGTCTGGTAATTTAAATGCATCTGTTTCCTCCTGACTCTTTGGTAATTTAAATGCATCTGTTTCCTCCTGACTCTTTCCCGAGATTCTCTTTCCAGTGTAGGATTTTCTTGTTGAGGTAGATGCACTCAGTGCGAGTAGGAAATTCCATCTAGCAATCGCAGGAAAAGGCAGTTAAACTCAGGGGTTAAGGGAGAGGGAGGGTTGGATTGTAAAGATGCTAAAAAAGATAAGGCCATTTGCAGCTGGTTTTATTGTGTCATGGTAGATCAATTAAGTTCCCAAGATGCTTGTAGATAGTATCAATGCCTGAGGTAGTTGAATGGGCAGAATTGCAACCATGTACTAGAATATATGATCCTAACCAGGAGAGAAACTACACAGAAAAAAATGAGGAAGAACACAATTCTCTGGAGACAAACTTCACTTTAATGTGAAATGTTTGGCCAATGATTATCTGAATATTAAATATCTTAATTTTTCTTATTATGCTACACGTCTTGTACTATATTGTTCCCAATATAAAATGAGGATTTCTCCCACTTTTGAAAATTATTACACACCTCATATTCATAGATTGCCAATAAGATACTAGATACCAAAAACAAATTGCTTTCATGCACAAAAGGTTCTTCAGGGATGTGCTTTCCCTGCACAGAGAAGGTCAATTGCATCGCTGGTAACATTGTCCACAAGTCATGTAAAACTGCATTTCTTCTGCTGGTGATGCAAAGGAAAGTAATAATACTAATCCTGGCATTTTGACACAGTGCCTTATTAAGTTTGACGAGACGTCTCAAACTGCTTCACAGAATATACTCAAAGTGAATTGTCTATATATTATGTGAAGCATGTAATTGTTTACTCCTATATAGTTTCTGTATTGCACTTTTACTTGGAGGGCATCAACCTATTAGTATGAGAAAGGAGTGTGCCTACAACCAAAGTTTTCCAATATCATGCACAGATTGGAGCATTCTTAAATCAGATGGTGGAGAGCGGAGATTTTACACTCCATTGTCAAGTAGTTGCCAAATAAATTAAAATAACAAACTGTTTCAGCAGCTTGGAATGAAGAAATAGGGTTCCTGGCTAAAAGAAAGATATTGTAGTTGCATTTCCATTCTGAAAAAAGTTGAGGTAGAAAATATTCTCCTGAAATCAGAGGGGTGTTCTTCCCCAAACCACGCATTTAGGACAGTATTCCTTAATTATCTCCTTGATAATTAAGGAATGGAATGCATTTAGGAATACCACCATTTTGATCCTGAGGTTTCTAATGGGACCAGAAGTTCAGAAGGTTCTAATAGTATTTTCCAATAAATTCCTTGCATCCATTCACTCTGCCATGTCATTTTCCCCTCCCTGGTACCTTCTTGAGCTCCTTCACCAGTGCCTTAACTTGCTTGTTGATTTGAGCAGAACGCTGCACATGTTCACAAGAGATGCTTGGATGAAAAGAGAATTTGGCCTATCTCATCCTTCTGGCCTTCTAAAATCCTTATCTTATTCCCATTACAGAATCACATTATTTCTTAAATAAGTTGAGTGTCCTGGTCTTTCCCAACTCTCTTGCTAGCCTCTTTCAGCTGTTAATTAGCTCGTACCCAAAAAATATTTCCTGGTGCCTATCCTGAATATGTCCTTCACGTGATCTCTTGTCCTGCCACTTTGACATATTGTTCGACCCTGAGCTGTCCTTTCTCCCTCACATCCGCACCACAACTGGCACCGCCTTCCATCACCTCCGGAACATCGCCAGACTACGGCATTACCTCACCCCTCACGCTGCTGAAACCCTGGTTCACGCCTTTGTCACCTCAAGGCTGGACTATGGGAACTCTCTCCTCGCCGGCCTTCCCGCCACCTCCCTCCACAAGCTGCAGGTCATTCAGAACTCTGCAGCTCGTGTACTGTCCCGCACCAGGCTTCGGGACCACATCACTCCCACCCTCGCTCGCCTCCACTGGCTCCCCATCCCCCAAAGGATTGATTTCAAGATCCTCATCCTCACCTACAAGGCCATTCACGGCCTTGCTCCCTCCTACCTCTCCAACCTACTATCCCCCTACCTACCTGCCCGTACCCTCCGTTCCTCTGGCTCCGGTCTGCTCCACGTCCCCCGCCCCAACTGCCCTACCATCGGTGGTCGGGCCTTCAGCCTCTCAGCCCCCAGGCTCTGGAACTCCATCCCCCAGTGCCTTCGCCGCCTCCTCCCTTTCCTCCTTCAAGGCCGGTCTCAAAACCTTTCTCTTTGACCGTGCCTTCAGCTCCCCTCTCGACTCTCTTCCCCCTCCTCGCTCCCTCCCTTCCCTCCCCTCACCCTGACCATTTCCCCCTGCTCGGGTCATGACCCAACTGTGCAGCGCCTTGGGACGTCCTCCTGATGTGAAAGGCGCTTTATAAATGGAATCTTGTTGTTGTTGTTGTTGTTGTTTGAAGCTGAAAGTGTTATTTTAGGTTACATTCTCTATCGTATTTAGCATTTTAGATACCACTATAAGGTCCCCTCTGAAACATTTCTTTTCATGGCTGAAGAGCTTGTCTAGTCTGAAGGATTACAGGAAAGGTGTGCCTTGGGCAGTTTAGAATACGGAAGACTTTTAGTAGCTCAGCTGGTGAGATAAGAATTTATGTGTTGAGTTCACTTTGCAGCACTTCAAATATAGACATCTTTATAAAAACATTCTGGTTAAGATAGTTTTTTTTATACATTGATGATATAAATGGAAATCAGAAAGCTGACAGTCATGATTAAAACAGAATTTCTTAATTATCTCTATTTTTAAATAACGTAAAATATTTCTAAATATTTGTATTACTTTTCTGCTGTTTGTCTTCAAGATGTTATTGCATTAGAATATTTACCAATTGTAATCCAGACATTAACAATCTCATTTCAAACAGACCAGCGATAGGCTCTTACAAATAAGTTCTTACCTCCGTCTAATTCATCAGTTCCAAAATGATTACGATAAAAGAGCATGAGTTCTACTTTATAACATTTGTAAACAGTCACCAGACAGACCAGCAGCAAAAGGATAGCTCCCAGTCCACCCGCAAGTTCCATAGTGTACATCAGCTCTGGAATAAAACAGAACACTGGTTGAGTAGGAACTACAGGAAAATAAATCTCTCAGAAATCAAGTTACTATAATGGGTTGATAAATGTAACCTCCCCTGAAAGAAGTTCAGATGTAGAAAACCTTTCAGTCCACTTTGTTTCATTCTTTGCAAAATACTGATTATAACATCTTCCTATTTTAGCACCAAGTGATTTTTTTAAAAATGAGTCTAGTGTGCTGGCCTCTGCAACATCCAGGAAATACATTCTAGTCATTGATTACCCTCTGTGTAAAGAAATACTTATTGGTGTTAGTCTTAAATTTGCCCTTTAGAATTCTGTACCTCTGCCATCTTGTACTACTTCCTTGGGGGTATGAGCATTTAATTCTCTGTTTACTGTCTCCATCTGTTCCAAAGGATTTGTGTGTCGTGTGTCAGTGATGTACACTGGCTCAGTTGGTAGCACTCTTGCCATGTTAGGTCACTAAAGTTTAGTATTTTTACTTTCCGAAACAGAAGGCAGCCGGACCAGCTCCAGACAGGATAGAAGCCAAAATAAAGGATTGTAGAAATAGAGTATCATGCAGGGAGCAAGACGGGGTTGGAAGCATGCATGGACCATGAATGGAGAATGGAGCGGCAGAGTTTAAGGATTAAAGAGAGCCACTATTGCCACTAATACTGTTAGCCTCAGGAGCAATGATGCCAGTAATGAGGATCTAATGTTGTAGAACGCACAGCTGACAATCCTTTTCTGAGAAGCTGATTTGTAAAATGTGCATTCACAGATCACTGCCACTAATGTTCCACAGGTATTGCAATGAAGGCTTCTACACTGCACAAAATTGCACTGTGTTTAATCTAATCTAAAGGGATTAAATCACCTTTGGTAATAGAGTGTCATGCAGCATTTCACTAAAGTCCAAACGCAGAGACAAGACATCCATTTCAAAAATATTCTTAAGCAATGCTGTACATTGAAGTAAAGGTTTTCCTAACGTAAATCTTTCAGCTGGCTCTGCAAGTGCAAGCCATAACAGGGTTGTTTTTTTTTGTTAGCAAGGTATCAGATGCATGCGGAAAGTCATCACAATGCTAAACAGCCATCAATCCAGACTACTGACTTCCACATATGCATGGAAATTTTTGTTAGAATGGATAGCACACCTTCTCCCTAGAGGTTCACGCCCTGCAACAGAGGGGAACTGTATACAGGGCAAAAATAAAGATGGGAAACTTCCTTGGCAACTGGAAATGTTTACCAGAGAGGAAAACATGTAGTCCATGCTTTACAAATAAAGATGAGAAAGGGAACATGGCATGATTCTGAATGCACAAAGCTAATACATGTATTTATTTTACTAATCAGGTCCCACATTAGACTTTCCTTAGCAATGCCATGCCACTAAACACTAATCCAGGCAGAGAAAGGATGTCTTTCCTCACTGTAACACGCAAGCTGACAGCACGCAGCATGGTGCTGGCATCACATTGATAAAAAGCACAGGGTGCTTCAGTTACAATGGCAGTGCTGGGCACAGAGTGGTTACACGGGCCACACTGTCGAAAACCCAGCTTCAATAAAACATCTTGCACTATCCTGTCAATCTTAGTGACTGGCTTGAGGCAGATCAGAATGTAACGCTATGTCAAAGGCTTTTTGTTCAGAATTTCCTTTTGTTGGCAGTAAGCACCATGAACAAGTTTAATGCCAAGTTTACTGGTAACATTTGCAAACATGGGAGTTTTCTGGCTGCAAAAGGAAGTTATTCCCAGAACAACAGACAGTGCACATTTTGTGTTCATTTGGCATGAAAATGTTGAATCATTATAAAATAAATATTATATGAATCTCATAGGATTGTTGAGTGTGTCATGCTAGAGCCGAGCTGCTGAGACCACCTTGAGGAGATGGTTAAATTGTTTTCTTCCTTTCCCTTGGTAGCCACCCAGGCAAATAAAGCATTTTAGTGCCTGACACAGTACACAGGTGGCAATGTGTGCAGGAGCTCTAGTCTCAGTATTCTTTCAGTGCTGGAATAAGTCATGATTGATGGGAAAATGCCATTTCTGGTTTTTGTTCCCTCTCTGAAAGGAAATGCATGATCCTCTCTCAGGTTCTCTCCCTCTGGCACAGGCCAGACGACACAGAAAACCAAAACCAGGGCATAAGACTACCCCCTATTACCATGTGAAACAACGCTGCATGTTATTTTAAACGAACAACATTCCTGTGGATTTCTATGAATATTTAAAGCCACGCCATGAAGTGTTCCATTACATTTATTTTAATTATTCTTTCACTGCACCAAGTGACAGCATCAGGTTTTTCTAGTTCAAAAACTGCACTGATCAACTGACACCTTGCATCTCTTTGCCTCCCGCATAAGCCTTGCCTTTAAATCTACAATGATTCTACATTTTGGTTTTGATGCATATTTCCTTAAATGATGGCAAGTGTTACATTATAGATTTACCTTTGGGTAATAGATTGAAGGTAGCAAAACCATTCTCTTCTACCTTTGCTAACACTCAAAAACGAAACCTTCATTTTCTTGATTGATCTGGATTTATCAAAGGTCTTAAAGTGTTTTATGATGCCAATAATAAATAATAATAATCCTTGCATTTGATATAGTGCTTTTCACGTCTTCTAGACGTCCCAAAGCGCTTCACAGAATATACTGTAAAGTGAATTGACTGTATATTTGTGGGCGAACGCGGCAGCCAATTGCGCACAGCAATGTCCCACAAACAGTCATGGATTGAAAATGACCAATTTTTATTATTATTTTGTTTTTTTGTAGGCCAAGAGCCAAGAAGAGCATAATTTAATACAAATTGTTTCATTCATGCAAAAGCAATCCACCAAATTCTTATGATTCAGTGAAAGGAATTGGAAACCTATTGATCAGAGGTCTTTAACTCTGTAATTGCAGAATTCTGGTCACTGCATCAGGGTTTCAATGACCATAGCTGACGAATATTCATTATTGAAAGACCTAGTGCTCACTGAAAATGTTTGTGTGTATTGGTTGCAGATGTTTCTTGAGATTGAATCACTGGAAGAAGTGCCCTTCAATTCAAAATAAATCATGTGCAGGACACCAGCAGCTGGTATGTGATGACTTCAATTGACAATTGAACAAGCAGCTAGACAATATGCATTTTTACAGGGAGTAAGTTGAGGAGCAAAATTTCCTCATTCCTTTCTTCATTCTAGTCTTTCCTTCATGGCTATTTAAGTCCTTGCAGATCCTACAGAGTTTTTTTAAACCTTTAAGACTCCTATAAGATCTTATATAGGACTTACTGTCTTATCTTACCAAAGTTCTTTATTTTGCTTTTTTACAGTGTAATGGATGTTGTGGGTGCATGCCTCACATCAGAACTTTGAACTCAGAGTCTAAACTGACACTCCAATACAATGTTGTCCATCGGATGAAATGTTAAACCAAGGTTCTGCCTATCTGTTTAGGTGCAAGCTAAAAGATCCGATGGCACTATTTGAAAACGGAATGGAGTTTTTTTTCCCTCCCAATGTCCAACAAATTCTTAGATAAAATTGGTCACTTCATGGCCGCTTGTGGGTAACTGCTGTGGGAAATTGTCTGTCCAGCGCCTTGGGACGTCCTCTCGACGTGAAAGACGCTATACAAATGTAATTTTGTTGTTGTTATTTGCCTACAGTGACTACACTCTACAGTAAATCTTATGAAGCTTTTAACAACGGTACACAACATTATAAACATGCAAAGGTTATTATTATTTCTGATTTGGGATTCAAGGAAGTTATTTTTTGTGTGAACAATACGTTTGCTTGTCATATAGCATTGGAACTAAACCTATCCTAAACTATAATGAGTTGCCTATCCATGCGTGAAAGCAACATACCCAATCTGAAAAAATTGTTCATAAACTCCAAGAAACTCTGTCTTCATTTGTTATCAATAAGAAGTGACAAGGCTTCCCATCATTCTGTGACGCATCATTCTTCAAACAAATGCCATAGTGTGAGTTGAGGGCAAATTATCACCATTTATCAGTGCTATCATTTTGACTGAGCATGAGGGTGTTTTTTGGGTTACAAAACTGAAGTAAATATGAAGTTCCATACATTTGAATGATGGATTGGACTCATTGTCAAAAGCTCAATGCCTCAGGAAATGTAATTCACTAACCTAATGCAGCCAGATCCATTCGTCTGCAACAATCATGTTCTCAATGATCTCACTTATCCCATTCTAAAGAAGCGGTTAACTGATCATTGCTTTCTTGTCCCCCGAGTCCTCCGCTCTACCCTCGGCGGCCGTGCCTTCAGCCACTATGCCCCGAAGCTCTGGAACTGCCTTCCTCACTCCCCTCGTCTCGCTCCCTCCCTTCCAATTTTCAGTTCTCTGCTGAAGACCTTTCTTTTTGACCGCGCCTTTGGTCACCTTCCTTGTCCCTCCCCCTGGCTCGGTCCTGGGATCCGAAACTGTAAAGCGCTCTGAGACATCGTCCGGCGTGGAGGGCACTATATAAATCCAAGTTGTTGTTGTTATTGTCTTGGAGCCAGGCTAAGTGCCAGTTGCTTAAAGGGGAGACATTTGTCTGTGTTATTAGGTCAATGGTAACAGCAGAAGGTGCTGCAATCAGCCATCCAAAGATAGCATCAATAAAAGAAATATAGGAATGGGGAGACAGAAGCACACCTGGATGCAATTATTGAAATCATTTTGCATACAAGAGCAAAATTTATATTTACCAGTGATTGTCCATTAACTGGCCAGAAAACACATTTTATGGTTAGAAGAAATGTAGATACAGTAAATATACTTTGGTTTCAGTCACAGGGACACTATTACAAGAACAACAACAAGATTACATTTGTATAGGGCATTCACGTCAGGAGGACGTCCCAAGGCGCTGGACAGTGTACAGCATTTCAGACCCGAGCTGGGGTCAGGGAAGGGAGAAGGGAAGAGAGGGGAAGGGGGGTGACTGATGGCATGGTCGAAGAGGAGGGTTTTGAGGTG